TCTCAGACTTCTCCATGCTGAGTAATCTTTAACTCACTATTAGTTCCTGACGTGGAACTGGATAAGAAGAGCCCAGTTTAGTCACCATATAGAGTCCTCTTGTTAGTCCACCCCAACTGTAGCTGTATCAAATAACTTCCACTCTGTCTCAACGTCGCTTACACTATCTCCTTGTCATAAAGTATGACTCGTATGTGAATTGTTTTATAGATGACTGCATTCTTGCGACGCCGATCCTTGCAGTTCTCATCGTTATGCCTTGTAACTATTGGATCTATCCGCAGTAGGTCCCACATTATTCTGCGCTCATTTCATTCGCAGGACCTACGTCGACACCCCTTTTGGATGAGCAGTAGTTATGTAACGGTACACAGTTACTGGGTAGCTGCTGCACTTTTAGTTACCGATGATGCATTCGGCAAAGCTGTGCGCTGCCGGATGCATCTCCAGGTTGCAGATTGGAAAGTGTCTTCCTTGGAGAGGTAACTGTGAACAAATTTTACCATTTTCGCACGTAAGACAAACGAGTTGCTGCGAACATTCATCGGTTGGTCATGTTTCCACATTACATACACCACAAGAGCTCATGAGATTCTGTGTCAAAGATACTGTCATCATGTACAGGGTCACCGAGGAATAGATACACGACGGAGGGCGTATGAACAACTTTAGTGGTCACAACTCTCCTGGTAAGCTCATCATTTACACCATCGTTGGGTGTATGAGCTCCATTCTGTCAACGGTCTTCTGGTGTGGGAGCGATTTCGTGGGTGCATAAAGTGTTTCGTGCTCTCTGTGCTGCCTAACTAGAATTCTTTGGGCTACTTGAGATCGTGTTATCTATATTTTTGTAACTGTTTCTCAGTGCTTTGCGATGTACCCTGAACACCATTGCCTTGTGGTCTGGTGTTCACTGCTTGAGATACCGGATGGAGCCGCTGAATCCAGAGCTATTCTTGGGCCTGGCTTACTGGATATGCTCCATGCTCACACAGCCGATGAATTCATGCGGAAACAACTTTATACTCTTCGTCTTTGCTCTTTGAAAACGCTACTCTAGACTGTGGATTTGCGATCTGCTACGCCACGTGTATCCAACTCCCATATCCTTTCTCAAACCTTCAACTCTCTCAGTCTTGGGCAAAGCTCTCGTTGCCTGGATCAGCAGTTTAGCTTCAAGTGTGCACCATCTGTCAAGTGGCCCTCCGTGCATCAAAAAGTCACAGTCTGGGCCTCGAAAAGAAATGCATTATTCATAGAACGCAAACTCATTTTATATCTCGAGTCAATTAGAATCACTCACAGATGCAGGACAAATCTTCCTATTACATTCTTTGCCAGGGTAATAGCTTCATTCAATATCGACCCAAATCAATTGCATGCTATCCTTTAGTTCGCCTCTGCAGCGATCGATCAGCTTTCAGACTGTTGGACCAAAATCTTTAAGCTCGACCGATAGCTAAGCGACGGGTATCTAAGTGTAGTATCTTACCATCACATCATCCAGTTATACTAGCTGTCCCTGTCCCCAATTCAAGTGGATTGCTTTCAGTACCTAGCGCCGACTGCAGATCGAGTTTCAGGTAGTTCCTGTCCGCACTTTAGAACCCATCACCACTGATATTTATTGCCTCACTGCAACACATTTACAGGACTACGGCACCATGCTGCGCCAGATTCCACTGGTGCTTTCACATTTCGCTTGCCCTGGGGCTTGACTGCTAAAGCTACTTGCCACATCAGTATGGAGATTGTTTTATGTGCGCGCAGAGGCAGTGATGCTATACTGGGCTCCTGTTAACAGCCTGCTCCGCACAATTCGGCTGGATAAGTCAGTTGTATTATCTAACCACGGGGCCTATATGACTAATCAGAAATGTCGCCCGTACAGTTTCTGAGTGCTATTTCGTACATAATCGCTATACGGAAAGTAGCATCTCTGGAAATGACCACTGTCCTCCGTACACTTCTTAAGTGGCATGACAATGAAGGACGATCCGCGCTACATCATAGTCAAAAGTCAGTCATTTAGGTCGGCCGCCGTCATCCATGGCACAAGCTGCTGGCATCCGGAGGTCATGAAGTTTGAACTCGGCAGGGGTCCGAGGAACGCGCACCACTGGCGATACTCAGATAATGGAAACAATCGTCCTGTGCTTTCCAGACGTGTGGGAGCCTGATTGACTAAGAGGTGGTTGCGATGAACTACATCTAACTTACACCGAAATCCACACTATTCATGAGTAAAATTCAATTTTGTGGTCAACTCACCGATCATCTCATAGACTTCTTGGTGCTTGCGGACTCCTGTCATCAAAATTGACATCGATGAAAATGGATTCGGTGATCCACACAGCCGTCTTATTCACATGATCAATAACGACGATAGACTAACATTCTGTCAATCACGGTCTCTCACAAGCGCTTTCCCTCAACGACCTTTGGCGCCAGCGCACCACCTTGGGACCCATCTCCTGGCCAGCTATGGGCACAGATTGACTACATCGGGGTCGATTATCGATGTGGAGCCTTCGTCTGGATTGCAATCAATTTAACACACTTAACATCGGATCATGCACTAACATGTGCTAACATCGCCTTGCTTTTCGGTGTCGCTAGACTATGCCACCGGAGATGGCTTGCCGTTGCCATGCTTTTCGTCCCGTACGTTCTCAGCACCTTACGAGATACCCTAGCACAAATTCTCGAGAGACCCCGCTTCTTGACATGGAGGCGCACTGGCCGCCAATTAGCAGTGCCAAGTACATGTTTTCGACCTTGGTGTTGTCAGTCACTGGACCTCTGCACAGTTTTTCTAGATTCTTTAGACTTGTGGAATGATTTCTGTCGACGTTGAGTTCCATTCACCTCGCGAAACTCAACACTGAGCTCATGAAACTCCCCCGGAAGGATCGAGATACCTGATGAACGCAGTGTCATCGAGACAGAACAAGCAGTCGCCACCAAAAACCCGTACGTTATTCACCTTGGTCATCCCTGCTGGCGGCAACGATCCAGTTGTAAACGGAATTGTATATAAAATCCGCGACAAGCCTTTTCATAACTCAACATCGATTTGCGTGTTTGGCTAAGCAACTCGAACAGCAATTCAACTGGCCGCTAGCACCGACGAATCTCTATTGAGTAGTCCACAGTACTTTTGTTACGCGACCGTGGTTTTCCGTCCGCTTCGCTTTCTGAAGCGCTACTAAGACCCCCCTATCACTGTCAAAGATGGAGGCCCATCTTCTGTCTATGTACTAATTTCCATTCTCCAGAATGTGCATCATGGAAGTTATCCGATTGGAGTTTCGCACATGCCATATCCGTCTTCGAAAATGAATACTGGAACAGATCGCACTGTCCATCAAGTGACTTGCTTCGTTTCCGTTGCTTCCAGTGCCGACCACCTTGTTCTTACAGAGGCTAGGCAGGGTAAGCGAAGAGCAAGCTGGGTTTCGTTCAGGTTGGATTTACATTAATCACATCTGCCGGTTCGTAGCCTTAAGGATCACAAGCCTGCTTTATAATCCGAGGGCGCGGGTTCGGATCTGCGTATTGACCATGCAACCCTCGCAGTCTTTCTAGCCCACGTGCGACTGTTGGCAATTGCGCGGCAGTGAAGCGTCGGTACCGCGTACCGGCATACTGCTGATGCCACAATCTGCCAAATACTTGAGTGTTATCAGACTTTCGGTCGACCGGCAACCCTTGTCTTAGTCATACGAACCGCCTTTGACTTAGTTGATTGAGCTGCCCTCTGGAGTTGGTTATTGTGAGTAGCGATGCTCTTTTAGCATGTTAATACTTCCCAATCTATTTATTCTCTTATGGGAGTGCATAGCGAGCTTTTGCCCCTTTATCTGTGGCATGAGGCGGGGTTGACTGGCACTAACATTACTGTTCAACTTCACTACATATCACATTCTGGAGAGTACTGCGGAAAGCTACAGAACTATAACATTGAGCTACTTCATGGAAATTGCCTTCGTGAGTTGGAGTGTACCGACAACGTCACTATAATCTGTGCTTCCCCGCCGGCCACCCAAATATGCTACCTAGTTTGGAGATGCCTATCTCACAATTCAGAATAACTTTCACTTTCTTCTATTGCAAGGTCTTTTTGTAGAACCGGCCAGAAACTGCGTCCTTCCTCGCACTTTTTGGCCCCCGTTATGTTCTGGTCTTCAAATTCGTTTACGTCGAGTTACATTAGCTTCAACAGTTTAACGAACGTTGTGTCTGCGCGCTTCGAAGATTCGGACTACTTTCGCCAATATTCACTGTATGTGTCTTCGACGCGACCTCATCCCCCCTCTGAAAGGCCGAGTTTGCAATGCCACGGTATACCAGCTGTTCAAGTCTACGGTTTTGGCTTTGCTCGTTCGTACAAAACATATTCAGTGTCTGCTTGTTTGTGTGATCCCCGATGTGCTCAGAGCTTCACTTGTTTGCAATGACAACATCGAAGTAGTAGTGTTAAGGAATATTTTACTCAGGGTATACTGATCATCAGGCTGCATAAGTTCACTGCGCAAGCGTCGGTGTCTTGGACACCAGCTTCGCTTGCCTGTTGGGCGGTTGCCTGACCTTACGCAGAAGTCAGCTGGTAACGAAAGGATGGTGGTCAACTGGTTTGTGGGTGCTAACCTCAAGTTTCACCACGGATGGGCACTGTGAATTCGGATTTGGAATCCAAGGACCGCGAGCTCACTTGTTTGGGAATGCTGTCGGCCATCGCCGAAATTCACGCACGTTGGCAGTCTATAATGAGGTAACTCTACTAATTGACGTTTTTATCTGTTTTTCTCACTTCCTTATCATCTACATCCATCGGTTGGGACATTCAGTCATATATACGATGTCGTCGCACTTCACCCCAGCCGGACCCCACAGGATCGAGTGTTAGGTACAATGCTAAGGTAACAGTCAGATTATCGCCGTCGCTGCGCTTATTTCAACATGCTTTTTAAACGCGTTTATTTTTTCTCTTGTCACAGTACAATCAGACGCGTGAATTGGCCGTTGGTGAGTACTCATTCGTCTCATCGAATCCCAACATCGCTCTTTGTCAAACCAATCTTTTGGATGCCACAGACGATCACGGACGTGCAGTCTCTGATGCGGAGGAGCAGTGTAAGCCATTTCAGCGTTACAGCAAGCTGAGTGATTTTCACGCTTCAATCTGCCTTAGACACACTCTTGTATTGTTCATTTTGCCACACACGGACTTCCAGTTTTCAACTTGAATGTATTTCTTCGACTCCAAGTGTTACTTTCACATTTGGTAGTATTTAGGTCATTTGACTCTTTTGCACTTGAGGTACCCATATTCTTCCCTATAGATCATAGTTCCATTTAGCGCATCCGGATTCCACTCCTGGATTCACAAACACCACACTCCAGACACCACAGCGCTTTCACTCAACTCAAATACGTTGGAAACTTTAAATGTAGGAGATGTCAGTCATATTTACGCAGCATCTTTTATTCTTGACTTGGTCTTACTTACAGTGGTCTAGTGGCGGAGTTGAATGGTCTAAATGGAGGAGATTCATCACATCTAGGCTCATTCAGGCAGCCATCACACGCCCCGAAAAGCCCTGTGAAACCGTACAGTGCACAAGAGAATTCGTGCTGTATGTTGTCAATAGAATGGCCGTGTCATACTACGAGTGCGGACTTTTCTTATCTAAATTTCTCGTGTTCAATCATCCATTGAATGGTGACAGTCTGCGAGGCAGCGCACCTCGTTATTACGGACAGCGACGATGTTGCTCGATCTTTCTATGACAAGTGGGTGCGATTAATTTCAGTGGAGGAAACTCACCTGCACGGATTGTCGACTGTTCGTCACTCAAAGTCGGCTAACTCGGGCAGTTCGATCGACTTACTGTTCCGCCATCATTTTCCGACTAATCTGAGCCCACGTTGAATCCAGAGACTACGATTCCCAACGTCGAAATGACCGAAACCAAATCGGTGACCCTGAAACGAGATCAAATTACCATTGACCTGCCTCCTCTCTTAGTTCAAAGACAACGGCAACTAACCGTCGGCTAGCCCACCTCTTCCGTATAATACCATATGACGCAGGTAGAAATCGCTCTCTCGTTTCCAGTCGTTTTGCAATCATCCTCATTTCTACATGGTGTCAAGGAACATCATGTGCTGTCATCAGTGCATCGTCCCCATTGCTTCTGAGGTTGTTACGTATCACACCTTCAGTTTCCTATGGTACCTGTATAATCCCCGCTGCCGCAGTTACCTTTGGATCAATTGACCACACATGTTTGTTGCACCGTTTGTCACTGAAGATCCTGTCAGCGATCATCGTCGTCATCGACTGCGACACCTCAGTACGTGCTACTTATGCTCCGCTGCACCTTCATCTTTAATGAGCTTTATTAGTGTAAAATCATAAGAGTAGGAGATTCCATTTACAACCTCAGTGGCGATACACGGATACCGGCGATCCGCCGTTGCGTGAAGATGAAGCGACATCAGTGTGACAGATTTGTTGTGGCATTGGGAGCCTCAAACCCACATTAGCCCTACTCCACAGATACCTCATCAGCGTGCAACTATCAAAACAGTAAGTCGACCGATCGCTGAGAGGATGAAAAGTCTGCCTTGTAACCCCGAGGTCACTGGTTCAAATCTGCATAGAGATGTCTGCGACCTCGTACTAAACGCAGCCCACGTAAAACCAGTGCTCGTTGCTTGGCATCGAAGCGCCGGTATGGTGTGTCGGCATACTGCTGATGCCTCTCTCTCTCTGTGCCTCGTCACAGTCACGCTACTGGTTCCGGTTGCGAGTAACGATGGTGTACCACAAGGCAATTACAACGTCAGCAGCGCAGACCTCAGTCTGGAAGACGAGACGCACACATATTACGCAGGCTTATCCATCACCAACGACGACGACGCAAGGCTGCTTCCACTGGCTTGGCCGGCGTTGGATTGGCCTTAAGCAACAAAGCCGACGCTGCCCTCCTTAATTGGTTCTTAGTTAGCAGCCGACTATGTGCAGTTCATCTCCAAAGCTCATGTAGAATTAACATGCATCGCTCTGAAAGGCGCAACCTGTTTGTGGTTTCTACTTACACGCCAACCGATTGTAACTCTGAACTGAACAAGGACTTTTTTTACAACCAGCTGCATCAGCTATTACGCAAAGCCGCCAAGTCGGATGTCATTATCCTCGGCGAAGACCAACGCACGTGTCGATCGACTGTCACCAGATGTATATCACTTGGGTGATCATCATGCACTGAACGAGAGTCGTTCAGATAACGGAACCAGGCTTCTCAATTTGTGCGAAGGCAACAGCCTATTTCTCGCAAGCGCAAACTTCAGGAACTCGCGACGCTCTTCCACCAGGTGTCTTCCTTCACCGTTGCAGGCTTGGTCCCAAACAGACCACATTGCAATCAGTTTCGGATGGCATAACAGCATACAAGATTATAGATCATTTTGCTCTACCTATCTCACTTCAGATCACGCACTGATCTGTGCTAACATTTGTATGCGATTCGGATGAAATCAAGAACGGAGGCTTGGTAAGCTTGGTACGGACAGGCTATCTGGTCAGTTGGCTTAGCTAGACTATCAACTATCACTGGCAAGCACACTAGCGTGTGTCACGCCCATTGATATTGGACACCAATGGGAGTTATTGCAGCAAGCAATCTTAACTTTAGATCAATCGATCTGTGGGTTATCACATCACCCCTTGAAGGGTTGGATATCGGAGCGCTCCCTGTCACTGTTCGACTGCTGCCGAACACTCTCAGTAAACCCAGATCAGAATGAGGTTCGCCATATTATCAGCAGACAACTCAAACGAAGCCTTCGCTGCGATCGGGGATTTTGGTGGTCCCATCGCGCCTTGGAGATGGAGACCGCCGTCCTCACTAGAAACACTCCTAAGCTGTTTCAGCCCATTCGGACCACTGAACACAGGAGGTCTGGTATCGGCGCGGTCATCAGTGAGGCGGACGGGTCAAAAATCACTACTTTGCAGAGACGCATGGTCAGATGGGTTGAGCACTTACAGTCCCAGTTCATTTGTTCGTCACCTTTATACTCAGTACACCCATTCGCATGCTTTGATCCGTGCCACTCGAACCACCAACCGAAGCGGAGGTTTGTCTTGAGATTCGTCACTTAGAACGCTTCAAGGTGGCCAGCTCAGATGAACTTCCCCAGAGTTGCTCAAATACGGAGGTATAGCAATTGTGAAGCAGCTGGCGTCCCTGTTTCTGCATATCTGGCAGGAAGAAAGGATCCCCTCTTCCTGGGGGGAGTCAATCATTGTTCCAATCTTCAAGAAAGGTTCTCACACTTCGTGTGCCAATTACAGGGGCATTAGTCTGATATCTGTTGCCTCCAAGCTACTAGCATCCATCATGCTCCGCAGGTTATCCCCCACTCGTGAGTCACACTACCGGGAGGAGCAGGCTGGTTTTTGTCCTGGTCAAGGATGTGTGGATCAAATTTTCACTTTTCGCCAACTCCGGGAGCATCGTCACCTCTACTGCAGACCAACCATTGGATATTCGGGCTGCGTTCGACTCGCTATATCGACCTGCTTTATGGAACTGCCTGTTGAAGAATGGAATTCCGGAGAAGTACGTCGCCATACTTCGCGCGCTATACCTCCACACTTCAGATCGAGTGAGAGCCTATGACATGCTTTCCACACTCTTCCCGGTCTCTAGTGACGTGCGACAAGGATGCCCAATGTCACTGTTTCTATATAATTTTGCGATGGACGATGTCCATTTGGGAGCTTTAGAGGGCCTGCAGGACCTCGGCATCGAGCTTCTTCCAGATAATCGCGCGACTGACTTAGACTACCCTGATGATATCGCCTTGCTCCGTGACGACCCCCCATTGGATGTAATTGTCCATTGCTCGATTGGTGATTGAAGCGTCTAAGTTTGGTATGTGCTTTGCCCCCTGCAAAGTTCTATAGGACTGGCAGGCACCCCTTCCCCAGTTCACCATTAAAGGCACACAGTTCGAATATGTAGATAATTTTACCTACCTAGGGAGCTGCGTCTCTGCCGATGGCACTATTGGAGCAGAGGTATTCCTTCGAATCACTAAAGATCGGTCAGCGTTTGCCAACTTAAGACGTTTGTGGCGCCGTCGCAACATTTCACTCTCGCTAAAAGACAGGGTTTTCAAAGCCTGTGTACGCGCGACATTGCTGTACGCATGCGAATCCTGGCCGATCCGTGTGGAAGACATGCGTCCTCTTTCGGCCTTCGACAGTAGTTGTTTGCGGAGGATTGCCCGCGTGCGTTGGCAACACCGAGTGTGTAATGATGACGTTAGATACCGCTCCTTGGATAAGACGGAAGTTTTACTTTTTGATACCGTCTGGCTACTTCAATTAAGATAGTTTGGTCACGTCCTGCGCATGTCTAACGAGCGTTTACCACTCCGCGCCTTGTTTGCGCACGCATGTTTACTTCGGGAAAGGCCGCGTGGAGGTCAACCGTCCACCTGGTGACAATGCATGAAATCGATGACATTCTGCCTGGCCATCGCTGGCCTCCTTGGACTCCCCGGCTGGGGACCGAAAGATAAAGAATGCGGATGGCTCGCAACGCTAGAAGCAATTGTGCATAGCGGTCGCAATGGAAGTAGTGCGCGCAAGTCTGCCTGATTTCACGTTTACTGAATACTAACTCTTAATAACCACAAAAATTACAAAATGGGGTGTGCAAAACCACGAAAAAATTGTTGTTCCCTTTTTCCTCCATTTTCAAATTCTTTCACGTTTTGTATGTTTTATTATTCTCTGTTCCTAATTCCATGGTGTTGAATGGCTCCATGTCTACCTTATAGACTGTTGCCTATATATATATATATATATATATATATATATATATATATATATATATATATATATAGATATATATATATATATATATATATATATATATATCATAACTCGCTGTCAGGTAAACGACTACTCGCTCCAAACTTTTATTATCACTGAAGTTGCAACCAAAATAATTCCCTTCCAAAGCAATAGACAGGCTTCCGTAGCAAGTTCACAAGACAATGAACTGGTCATCATTAAGTAACGTACGCTTACGCCCATCGCTGCGCACACGCTG